CGGCGGGATGAGCTTTTTAGCCTTAGCTTCTTTGGAGAGATAATAGGAGCCTGCGGGGTAAGGTGGGTGAGTCAGAAGTTTCTTGACATTTTAAGACAAAATCTGAGGATTAGGGTTGGTTCACTGGAGTAAAAGGTTCTTTCCTGTTGTCCCACATGCTTTGTTTAAAGCTCAGTAGATGAGGAGAAAGATTTAGTTTCTGGATTACTGTAGCCATGAATACCTTAGACATTATTTAGAGTCCCTCCTGCCTCCCCACATCACAGACAAGTTTCCTAGACGGAGAAACCGAGTCCCAGAATAGACAGTAATAGAGTAAGGCCAGATACCCTAACGTGGTATAGACTTTTCTAGTCTCCCATTATTAAGGACTCCTTTGGGGGGGGGGGTGGAACGAGGACTTTCGATAGTTAGAAAAAGACTAAAGTCTTCAGTGGCATTTTGTGTTTAGTTCCATTAATGGTAAGATAGAAGTTTTATTAGTGATACTCCGACCTTGCTCGCAAGTAAACTTAAAAGTCGCTTAAAGAGTGTCAGTGGTGATATGTATTGGAAACGACTCAGTAAAACTACAAGTTCTTGGCTAGTTTCTTTTTTTGACTTATAGCAGCTGTGGGGCTGAGAAGACAAAATCCAGTTAGTCACCTAAGACAGTACTGAAATAGATAGCAGGAAATATTGACAACACTTAGAAAGCTAGGCAGCAGTCACTTTGTTTGTTTGTTTGTTTTTTTTGGGGGGGGAGGTTTTTGCTATAGGGTGCATGTGCTTGCCAGAGACAGAAAGCGAGAAATCACACACACACACACACACACACACACACACACACACACCCCGGGGGGGGGGGGGGGGGACCCCCCCCCACCCCCCGGGGGGGGGGCGGGGGGAGATGGCCACACGGCAGTCCTTTCTCCTGCATCCTCTTCTCGGGATTTTGGGCACTCACACACATGCGCCCGGTGAGTTTTAAGCCACTGGGTCCGGGACTTGAACCGGGTCGACTACATGGGAATCCAACGACAATAGCTACTACACCAACTGCTGGTCCCGGCAGCAGTCACTTTGTAATTGTATCTTGGAACTCATTGCTCTCCACAGGGACAAATTCTAAATTAAGAATTGTAGTAGAACAAGATGAGGAAAATTAAACTGGTTTGAAGGAGGAAAACTACAAAGACAAACTTCTTGTCTTGGGAAAAGATGAGAACAGTGATCATTCTCTGTCTTATAAATTCAGAAAGAAATGTTAGCCAATGGCAGATGGTATGTTTACTTGGTGAAAGATATTTTAAAAGGCAAAACCAGAGGTTGGACAGCATAGAAAAACTGAAAAATACCTTGTAAAAATTATTTTTGTAATGTTCTTTAATATTTGATGAAATTGAATTAGTTAACACTTTGGTCTGTTCACATCAGTCAGATTGTCACTTTGCTCTTATTTAGATGACAAAGCAAAAACTGAAAACTAGTAGTGCATAAGAGCAGAAGAGTACTAAAACATAAACAAGGTATGTTCTCTGTGGCTTGTTCTCAGTTCAAGCATCACTTTCTTCTGGGAAGCCTTTCCTGGCATTCTTTTCCCTGCAAGCTTCCCTAACACTTATTTGAAACTTCTATTTATAGCACATTTCAGTTTGTATGTTAACTGTCTTCTTATTAGATTATGGTAAAATACTTTATTATCTTTGTATTCAGGTTACCTAGTATATAGATGGCCCTCAGTAGGTGTAAGTGAGTAAACAAACATGGGTTAAATCTGAAACTAGTCAATAAAGAGGGTGAGTTTTGTGAGTTCCTGAAATAGGGAGCACAGCTAAAGGATCCCAAACCATGTGTTACGTGATATTTTGGGGCCTGACTTTTGCACTAGCTCATAGATAACTAAGAGCAAGTAAGGGTTTTTTTTTTGGGGGGGGGTTGCTATTGGACACGTGTGGTTGCCGGAGAGAGAGAGACAAAAAGTGAGAAATCACCCACCAGGGGCGATGGCTACCCTTCAATCCCTTCTTCATTCTCCTCTCAGGATCTTGGGCACGCACGCACATGCGCCCAGTGTGAGTTTAAGCCTCTGGGTCCGAGACTTGAACTGTGATTGACTACATTGGGAGTCCAGCATCATAGTCATTATGCCAGCTGCTAGTCCCAGAGCAAGTAGAATTTTTATGGAACCAAATTGACAACTTGGGAAAAAAATGGTTTATTTTATTGTAATATTATTTATGGAGCACCAGTTAATCAGGGAAGTGAGAGATGGTACTAATGTTTAATTTCCAATAAAAAGACTATCTGTAATTAAGCAATTTGTTGAAGGGTTAGGGGACTAAAAAATTGGGGTGATTTAACAATAAGTATGAGAAGCAATGTGTGTAATCTGTGTAAACTATTTCTTGAGAATTTGGTGCATTCATTGTATTAGAAATAACCTTAGGTATTTGGCACAATCTGTCTCTAGAGCAAGGTTTCTCAGCTTGGCACTGTTGATACTTTGGGCCAGATAATTCTTTGTTGTGGGTGTCTCTCATGTATTGTAGGATGCTGAGCAGCTTTCCAAGTTTCTACCTATTATATAATGATAACACCTCCCTAAATTGCAACAATCGAGAATGTGTTAAGAAATTATTGAGGGGCCAGTGTATGATCTAGCAGTTATGTTGTTGTACTCCCATATTGGCCAACTGTGGTTTGAGTCCTGGACCTGGTGACTCAAAATTCACATCGGGCACTTGTATGTGTGTGTGCAAAATCCCAGTGGGAACTGTGGCATGGCCATACCCCCTGCGGGGGTGATTTCTCACTTTCTGTGTCTCTATCTCTGGTGAGTGCACATGCCCTAAGAAAAAGACCTTGGAGGAAAAATTGTTGAAATTTCCCCTGATTGAGACTACTGTTCTAGTGCAAATATTCCCAATATTCTGGTAAAATCATATCTTTATCTTGCTTGGTATTTGTTGATAAATTAGATTTTGTTTGAATAAATTATCTGTGAAAAAGTCTTAAGTCTTAAAGTGTCAAGTTCTCGGAGGCTAGCAGGTAGCGTGGTGAAGGTTGCTGGACTCCCACATGGCCGAGTATGGTTTGAGTCCTGACCCCGGCAGCTTGCTTTCTCACTTTCTCTCTCTCTCTCTCTCTCTCTCTCCCTCTCTGGTCAAATTAGAATAAGTAATAACTTTAACTTTATTATTATCTTCTTCCAGTTTGATCAGAGAGAGACAGCAAGAGAGAGAGGGAAAGTGAGAAAGCAAGCTACCAGGTCCCAGACTTGAACCATGGTTGACCATATGGGAATTCAGCGCCCTTAGTCACCACGCCACCTGCTGGTCCCAAATAAAATAATTCTTTAATTCTGGTACTGGGAAGCTGAAAGACTGAGAGTCTTAGAGTCACTTTGATTTCTCCTTTCTTTTCTGTAGTAGCTGCCTTGTGTGCCTTTTGTGTGACGTAGGAGAAATCAAAGTCTTGTTCGAAAGTGGATAGGATAGTGAGTAAATCTTGTACTATCTCTCTCTTCTTGGAACGGGCAAAAGAACTTATAGTTGGTTTGATGTAATTAAATGTGATGCTATGTAATTTCATTATCTTTCCATCTTGCTGATACACTTGACCCCACATAAATATGCATTGATGGGACTCTTGTTTCCTTATATACAATAATTTGGTAAGTACTGAGAATTATTTACCGTATTGATGAGTTTGTACTTAATTTGGTATAATGGAATGTACTTTTTTTAGTGGGGAACTAAAAGTTATTTAAATACAACTCTAATTTGCTAAGTGTGAATGAAAACTAAGTAGGTGGGGTAGTAGTTTAGATTGGAAGATGTAACTGGAAGCAAGCAAACAAATTAGGAGGTTCTGTCAGTCTAGTGTAGCAGTTCTTAAACTTTGTGGTCTCTATACTCCTTTAAAACTTTATGAAATTATTGGGACTAGCAGGTGGCATGGTGGTTAAGGCATTGGATTCTCATGTGGTCAACTGCGGTTTGAGTGCTGGACATAGTGACTTGAAGTTCACTATGTGCCCAAAATGCTGAGAGAAGAATGGAGGAGAAGGGATTGCAGCATGGCCATCTCCCCAAGGAGGGATTTCTCATTTTCTATCTTTCTCCAGCAAGCTTATGTGCCCTATAGCAAAAATCTCCCTCAAAAAAAAAAAAATAATAATGAAGGTTTTGGGCCTGTAGGTGATGTAGTGGTTAAAGGTGTTGGATTCCCACGTTTGACTGCGGTTCCGGTCCTGACCTGGCAGCTTGCTTTCTCACTTTCTCTCTGTCTCACTTTGTCCCTCTCTGGTCAAATGGAAATTAACAAATGAGTAAATAAATAAAAGTTAAGTAAAATAATTCCAAAAAAAAAAGATTTTCGAAGAGCTTTTGTTTATGTGAGATTTACCCTTTGATATTGTGTTAGAAATTAAAACAAATTTTCAAAGGATCTTTTTTTTTTCTTAATTACTTTCTATCTGCCTATCTTCTTTCATTTGTTTCCTGAGTAAGAGACTAACAGAGACACAGGCACCTCACCTACAGGGTCATTCCACACCAGGACCCACTCCCAACTTCAGCCAGCCTTAGATTATGGGTACACATAGGCCAGGCATGTTTGGAGAGGTCTCTAGATGCAAGTCTAGGACCTGCCTATGTGAATTAACCCCACAAAGCATTGTGTTACTGTTGTTCCAGCTTCCGGTCCTCAAGATTTGATTTGAAACAAACTCATGTTGATGTAAATAACAATTTTATGAAAAGTAACTCTAATATTTAGTAAGAAGACTAGCTTAATAGATCACTGGATGTACCAGTCTTTGCTTTCACGGGGTTGATATGTTGTTTTGATCGAAATAACTGAAGAAAATTCAGGGTCACACTGATAGGTACTAAGACAAGGGAGGTTTTTTTGTTTGTTTGTTTGTTTGTTTGTTTTTTGGTGTGCTGTAGGATTTGTGCAGAGAGACAGAGGCAGTGGAAAAAGAAAGCATCCCGCAAGGGGGATGGCCATGCAAAAATCCCTTCTCTAGATTTTAGACACATAAACATGCCCCTCATGTTTTTTGTTTTTGTTTTTTTAAAAAAGTGATTTTTATTATAGGGTACCAGTGTTCAGCAGAGAGACAGACAGCAAGAAATAACCTCTGGGAGATGACCATGCTGCATTTCCTTTCCTCCATTCTCCTTTTGGGATTTTGGGCATGCACCCACATATGCCTGGCATGTGCGTGCGTGCCGCCAGGTCCAAGACTCAAACCTCAGTTGACTATGTGGGAGTCCAGTGACGCAACCATTGCATGAGGTCTGCTGGTTCCTGCCTTAAGTGGTTTTCAAGCCCCCAGGGTCCAGGACTCAAACCATGCGCTTGGCCATGTGGTATCCAGATAGCCTAACCGTCATGGCACCAGCTGGCCCAGGAGTGTTTTAATAACCTTTGTAGATAATGTTTGACCCCATACTCAAACCTTTTTAAAGGTTTGCTACAGTATGGAATCTGAAACCATGTCCTTGAGCTTTCATACTCTGTTACATTAAAATTCATTGTTCTTTCCTGTACTTTAAATAGATCTTTACTTATACATGATTTTATAACATCATGCAATGGTTATCGGAAATGATCAGTTCACTGAATTAATGTAGGTCTTTCAAATGTTGACATTTAGTTATACAATTATTATTGTTTCCACCTATGTCATCAGATTTTTTTTTAAAGATTTTGCTATAGGGTGTTTACACTTCCTGCAGAGAGAGAGAGAGAGAGAGAGAGAGAGAGAGAGAGAGGGAAAGTGAGAAATCACCTCCCCACTCCGGGGGATGGCCATGCCACAGTCCCTTCTCTATTCTCTTCTCCACGTTTTTAGCACATACACATGTTTTTCAAGCTGTTGGGTCATAGGTTTGATTTTCCCAGATGGTCATGTGAGATTCAGCTGCCATAACTTCCATGCCACCTGCTGGCCCTGGGTAGATTTTCTTAAGAATTGGGAAGCTGAGTTGACCCTGTAGCTCAGAGAACTGGATGCCACATGACCAACCAGGGTTCAATTCCTGGCCCCAGCAACTTAAAAAAAAACATGACAGGTGTGTGTGCATCCCCAAAATCCTGATGGAAAGGAAAAATGGAGCAAAAGAATTGTGGTGTGACCATGCCCCACTGGGGGGGGTGTGTGTCTTCTTTCTTGTTTGCACCAGTGTGCATACCTTCTGGCAAAATAGAGTTGGGACATTGACAAGCTTGTAGTGACTAATACAGGTTTTCAAAATTCCGATTTTCATATCAAATCTTAATAACCATGGTCGCTATTCATTCTTTGAAATAAAAATGATGTTCCATGAAAACAGTAGTTAATTCAGCTCCCAAATGTAATCACATGAGTATTTTTTTTCCTTCTTGCATTTCAGTATGCAGAAGTGCTTTGAGTGCTTCCCATTTAATCCTAAAGAATAATCAGACAGAATATTAAGATGATGTGCACTGAACTATTGAAAATTAATGCAATTAATACTTTTTTACTGCTGCACTA